TATTCACATTAACGACAGGCACTCCTTTAATTATTATAAATTCTCCTTTTAAAAAACCAAACATTTCTTTCATTTTTCCTTATGTTTGTGTGTGCCCATGTCTTTGCTGGTACCCATGGAGTCCAGAAGAGGGCGTCAGACCCTAACTAGAGGTGGTTGTGAGCCACTTGAAGTGGGTGCTGGGACTCAAACTCTAGTCCCTTGTAAGAACAGTACCTGCTCTTCACCTCCAAGCCACCTTTCCAGAAGTATAAGCCTTTATTTTAATGATTCTTCTAAAAAAAAAAACTTACATGTGATGATATGGGTGTGGTGGCATGTACCTTAAATCTCAGCACTCAGGAGACAGAGGCCAGCACATCTCTATGAGTTCAGTGCCAGCCTGGTCTATATGGCAAATTTCAGACTACCCAAGGCTACATAGTGAGATCCTGTCTCCAAAAACCAAAACAAAAAAGGGCTTCTGTCATGAGTGGCACACGAAGGTCAACTTGATTGCTCTGCGTGCGGAATCAACAAGAGATTTCGGAAGCATAATTTCTTGGTAACTGGGCAGCTGGTGATCTTGGTCCCTGTGGGGGAGGGGATAACCAAAACAAGGCTGGGGGGTGGTGCACACCTTTAATCCCAGCCCTCGGGAGGCAGAGCCAGGTGGATCTCTGTGAGTTTGAGGCCAGCCTGATCTATAGAGTGAGTTCCAGGAAAGGTGCCAAAGCTACCCAGAGAAATCCTATCTGGAAAAAAAAAAGAAAGAAACAAAAAAATGTATGTATGTGAGTTCCAGAACAGTCAGTGATACACAATGAAACCCTGTCTCAAATAACAACAAACAAAACACTAAGTTTTTGTTTGTTTGTTTTTTGTTTTGTCTATTTTTCAGATAGGGTCTCACTATGTAGCCCTGGCTAGCTTGCAACTCCACATGTAAACCAGGCTCCACTCAAATTCACAGGTGTACCTCTGCCTCTAAAGTGCTGAAACTAAAGGCATGTGCCACCACACGGCACTAATTTTAAAAAATTATATTTGTGTGTGTGTGTGTGTATGTGCGAGCGCGCGCACTGTATACATGCCACAGCTTGCAGGCAGAAGTCAGAGGACAACTTAAAGGAATTGGGTCTCCTCTTTCAGTATCCAGCTCTGGGGATCCAATGCAGGTCACCAGGCTTGGCAGTAAGTACTTCTTCCCAGGAACAGCCATCTCAACAGCTGTCCCAGACTTTTATGATAAGACTTTAGGGGTGGGGAAGAGTACTGAGAAGACCATTCCTTACTGTCTCATCCTGAACATCATTGTCACATCCACAGCCTGTCATTGGAACCCAGCTGGTTAACAAAAGTGTGGGCTTGTTCATTTGAAGGAAGTGGCCATGGGCACAGACCTTGTGTGGGTTAAAGGCGAAGTTTCCCTGCACCCAGTGTGGGCTCCCTTCTGTTCTGCCGGAGCTCAAGTTTCTGTCTTTCGTAATCTTTTTTTTTTTTTTTTTTTTTTTTTTTTTTTTTTTTGGTTCATTTCCTTCTCCTAGAAGAGCATATGTTCCAGAAGCTTCCTTAAACATGGCATGTGGGAGGTAAAACTTCTCTGAGGACTAACTTGTCAGAAGGCTTTCTTATTTTACCTAACCACTTGATCAATAAACTGGCCATAAGGAGGATCCTAGCTTAAACATAATTTTCTTAAAGAGTTTTTATTTATTAATTTGTTTTCATTTGTTTTTTTTTGAGACAAGGTCTCACTATGTAGACCAGGCGAGCCTGAAACTCACAGAGATTTGCCTGTCTCTGCCTCCCAAGTGCTGGGATTAAAAGTGTGAACCACCACATTCAGCCTAAGAATTGTTCTTTAAAAAATGTATTCATTAAAAAAAAAATATTTCAAGCCGGGCGTTGGTGGC